GTCCATATTGACTGAGAGGGAGTCCCATCAAACACATCGTTTGTCCTCCTCATAGGTATACGCCTAAATTGAGCACAAGAACTTATGCTCAATGAGTCCAGTCATTAGTTCAACAGCAAGGAGTGCAAATAGTGGTGAATAATATTTTTTATCGCTGCGAAAATTCGGCAACGTCAAGAGTTTGATTATATCAGGTTAACCTTGGTAATGGACAGTTGGGTTATGTAATGGCAAGAAATTCAAATTGTCACAAGTGGTTTGTTTATAATTTATAAATATTGTGTGAACACCTTAATAAGTCCAGATCAAACTATATTTGCTCTATGCCTGATTTAGTGCAGATTTATGAATTATCTTTTTTGCTTTTAAAATAATATTATATTCAGAAATTGTAGTATTGTTAATCTAGCTTATAATACCCATGTCCTAGTATTAGAAAGCCTCATTCAACAGAACAGGCTTCATTGACCAACTACAAACTGCTACCGTACATCAGGCGTCCACCTGAGTCCACAATATTGGCTGCATCGCCCATTACATATTGCTTCCTACTGCTTGCCTGCCAATGTTTGGATGGATATCTTCCTCGTATGCTATTGGAAATCAAAGAGACGGATTACTGGTTATGGCAATCCTAATCCAATATGTCTGCGTTCTCATACGTAAGTACACTAACTCCTTTTCTAGAAGATAAGCTGTCCTTAGTTTCTGGCTTTGTTCCCTATACAGTTAAGGATTGACAAAATAACCAATTCGACAGTCACAGATTTCCCTCATCTGGCAGGAAAGTGGCACAGACGTAGAGTAGATAAGGGTAATTACCCTTATAGACTTGCACGAAGGCAGCTACATCCATCATTGGTTCCCTCTCTTCTTGCAGTCTAACTGGATTCGACAGTCCTTATAGCCGTCGCTGACTTGTCGATGCCTCAGCTGTCCAAATCCCGGGCAATGCCTATGGATCCGGTGTTTGTAAAATCTGATGAGCTACCATGACAGCTGTAGTTAGCATTAAAGGATGTCTGCCTCCGTTATGCGTAGCAATGACGAATCTGGGGTTCAAGGGGCATCATTCAAACGCATTTGTTGCCACCAATGTAGAATGCTAGAGTCCTTGTATGAAGAAGGCTGGTACAAGTGAATAGACATCAATAACCAATAACATGCCAGAACCAAACATGTGATGCCGTCCACCCGAGGCCATCACCCTGGCTGCGCCACTCATACGTGTCTGTCTCTGGTTATCTGCAAATCTTCCTCACATGCCACTAGGACGAAGAGACAGAGGATTGGTTGAAGCCGTCGTGATCCAATATGTCTGCGCCCTTATTCTGTAGAATACCCGAGCCCTAATAGGAAAAAGACCGGTACAACAGAACAGGTTTTATTGACCAATCACAAGCCAGAGCCACAAGTCAGGCGCCTTCCATCCAAGTCCACCACGCTTGCACCACGCCGTTCATTATATACTGCACATCACTTGTGTCCTTCTCTGGTTGGCTGCTCATCACCCTCGAATGCCATTGGAACTCAGAGAGACACAGCAGTGGCTGAGGATAGGTGGTCCAATATGTTTGCGCCCGGATCCAACGCCACTGTAGATTTCCCGAGCCCTAATAGGAAAAAGACCGGTACAACAGAACAGGCTTTATTGACCAATCAGAAGCCAGAGCCACGCGTCAGACGCCTTCCACCCGAGTCCTCCACGCTGGCCGCGCCGCTCATTATATACTACTCTTTAGTCGTGTCCTTCTCTGGTTGGCTGCTTACCTTCCTCGCGTGCCATTGGAACGCAGAGAGATACAGGATTGGCTGAGGCCAGGTGGTCCAACATGTCTGCGGCCTAATCCGACGCCACACCACAATACGTCGCCACACTAGATTATACCAGATAAAGTCATGACAAAATAGTGTAGCGACGAATAAGGGCGCAGATACATTGGACCACGCTGCCCTTGGCCAATCCTCTGTCTCTGCGTTCCAGTTGCATACGGGGAAGATAAAGCTAACAACCAAAAATAGACACGTTTGAGAAGTGGTAAATAATGAGCGGTGCAGCCGGCGTGGTGGATTTGGATTGATGACATCTGATGCTTGGCTCTGGCTTGTGGTTGGTCAATAAAGCCCATTCAATGGCCACATCACGCGCTCAATAAAATACTTTCGTTTCCTCCTAAAAACTCACACTTTTAGTGTGCACGTGAATTTTATCAGTCGTGTTACTGTAATTATTTACTTTCATGTTCCTTGCTTCCACAAACTCGAATTTAAACCACTTTGCTCAGTCAGTCAAACCGATTTAATATACCAGTTACTGATTTTCCGCAAAAAATCACTTTACTTTATAGGTTTGTCAAGGAATGTGGATTTTGTAAATACAACACCCAACTATTGGCTGAACAGAAGGCAACAATCAGGGAGAGACCATCGTTATCGTGACGTAGTAGGTTATGTTGTAATCTTTATTTAGACAATGATTTGATCAGCTTCATACCAGACACGGTTAGGAAGTTCGAGATAAGAACAGTAAAGCCTCCAATATGGATGGTCACGAGTATTTGTCATTTGTCGAAGCAGAACTTTCCATATAAGCTGCCTGTTTTAAAAACAGGATATTGTCAGATATGTAAAAGCATTGTCAATTGAATCATTTTTAACTGACTCTACAACTTTAAGAGAATTGTTAGCGAATGGTATTTTCGTGATTAAAATCCATCATTCGCTGGAAGGACGCGAATATACTGTATTCAGATCGCAGAATACCATTGTTAAACAATTTGCCTGACAATCGCCTTGAGATTTCAGAAAACTTGGTTACGTTTCCATTTTGCTAATAGAAGCAGTCACTCTGACGAAAATAAACAGCGTTCCTTTAACGCTACATAGCACACATTCACAACAGATCTTGGCATTCGTTTCGGAAATAATCTAGCTCGAAAATAATCTTGGTGGTAATTCCTCAATATGACGTCCCCCATTTGACTTAAGAGAAAAAGCATTAATTTTGACTTGGTTTTTATACCCTTTTACCCGTTTGCATGGTAACAAACAATTCTGTCTTGCATTCCACCGGCAAAAACAAGAGCTCACGGACAAAACTCCCATTTTAAAGAAAGGTTTATTGAAAACACAGCAATCGCAAGAAGAATCTGCGTGCCCAGACTTTTGTTTCTGAAATATGCATATCAAGAGTTGGAGATCTCCCGCTATCCCGTGGATTTACAAAATTTATGTGTGCACACCGCTGAGCAATAGCCGTCTCATCAGAGGCAATGTGAATTTGGAATTATTCTGACTTGCACACAAACTTGCGTACCATGGTGTTGCGTCCCTCATTACGATTATTTACGGGCTATGGCGAAACACCCGGCAGCCATTTGAGCAATGTTTTCTGGCATCCACTAAGTCCCAAAGTTGCACTCCATAACTGGTAGAATCCTTCACCCATAGTTCCGCTAAATATCCACAGCATCTCAAAGAAAATATCTTCACATCAACTAAAAGCGTCGCTGGAACACATTCGTGTCCTTCACAGTGAGATCACTGATTCAGGCAAAAAACCCATTCAAAGAAACTTGGGCCCTTTGAACTCGAGTCCCGTCACACAGGCCCCACCATCAACCAGATATGCTTACATCACCACGCCTCTTTTCGTGACAGCCACCTCATTAAGGCCACGGTTAAATAGTCGAAGCGCAAAAGATAAACCACAGTTGACGGGAATGGAATTCACGGAACAAAGAGCCTCAATGATTTTACAACGGAGATATGTCTTTCTGTTATATTCAAAAGGTAATGCACGTGGGTCCAGGAAATCGAGACAGGTAAATTCTGTGCAGGGAAACGCTAAATTCTGCAACATATTTGTGAATTAAAAGAGTAATAGTGAAGGCAGACTAAGGTCCCTAAAATACTTGATATTATTTTTGCAGATTTCGGACTCGTAGAAAGCGAAAATGCGCAACATGTGATTTCGGGGGACCTTGGACAAAGTCTTGTGATGTATTACTGCGTTGGAAACTACGCGAAGGCATTTCACGAGGACCTCTATCCTCGCAAAAGGATCGTCTGATTTAGCAAGAGATTTAGCTCGAGAGTATGTCTACTTAGGGCCAGGTGCGCTACGTAAATTTCCCATTACCTGTTCATGAACAGACACGGAGGATATTGATGCCAGAAGGCTTCCCGGGACTGCTGTAAGACAGTGAAGCAAGAGTTGAGACTGTAGGAGATTGATTTATTGGAAGGGGACAGGGTAACATGTGAAACATTAGGATTTGCAGGGCTTCCAACAAACCAATATACTGTCACGATTACCAAAGAATGTCCTAAGCTGTCGTAACTCTGAAAAGCAGGACTAACAGGCACCGGTTATGAAGGCAGTTTAGGGCAACAATGACACGTTTAACGCTAGTTTATTCCGGCCTGGATGCATACCTACATAGAAGATTTGGTTAGATACAGAATGGATGAAATATCATCAAATTAACGCGAAAAATGACTTTTGTATTGGGGTAAAGGGCCAAAAGGATGGTCAACCAGTTGGATTGCAAATTGCATCACACTGAAGAACATGCAAGCAAACACAAACGAAATGAAGAGTAACAACAAATACCTAGATAAATATGGATTATGAGAAGGGCAGGGAAAGGAATCGAGAAAAAATCACAGTAATCCATGTAGGCAAGAAAAGGGTAATCATCACCACTGTTAAATGCTTTGAGCTCTGGGTTGATCTACACGGCGCACTCGCTCATTGTCTGTCGGGAAACGGGTTCAGGAAGGGATTGGTGGACACGCCAGGAACGGCGGGACTCGCACCGAAAGGAGTCTGGGCCGGGGGCGGAAGAATGGACGAAACAGTGCAGGTCGCCAGTTGGCCCTTGGCCATTGCGGTAGCCCGCTCTGCCCAGCCCAGATCAAAGGGGTCGTCACTGAAACTGGTCGGCTCAGGGGGGAGCTGACCGGGGATCCAAGGCGCGGGGACAGAAGAGGGATCTTTCAACTGCGGGTTTCGGACCAAAGTCAGTTCTACAAAGGAAGCAAAGACTCTAAAAACTACCTCTTTTTTCCCACATATACAACAGTTTTCCAAAGTCAACCGAACTGCTAAATGTTAAAGAAAATTGATTATGGCTTTTTACCAAAAATTAAATCGAAAAATGTGAAAATGGGATTAGTTAAACAAATTCTTTAAGAAGCAGACACTATTCTATACTTTTACTATACTCCAGATACACAGCACAACGGAATGGGATGTCAGTGGACGAGGCGCATTCTACTAGCAACACAAAGGTAAGGCACAAGAATGAGATGATTGTTTACAAAAAGGATAAACAATTTCACAATCACAAGACAACATGGAAGCGGCGGATATAAACAAGACGTGAATTAGAAAACGGGACTACATAAAAGTGACTCCAGACAACTTGAATAAAAGGCACCAGAAATGAAGGGAGTATGATCGAGTCGAAAAATGAGATTTGTTAGGGCTCAGAGCAGTAGCGTTACATCAGCGGCGGCATCGATTTTCACTATTTTTGCATAGGGAAGACGTTACCTCGTGTACGGAAGTCATCCTACAATTGTGCTATTGGTCAACACACAGAGACAAGAACATTTTGGCAAAACCGAGTTAATGTTCACCTCGGAGTGAGAGAACTAGTGCCTAAATGAAGTTCAAAACAAAACCACTACATTTGAGCATACTAGAAAAGTAATTAAATAGTGAGAAAAGTCCCAACAACTACGTCAGTATGCTCATATGATTAATTCGTATTAGATACTAGATTGATGGATTTGGTGCGAAACGCTTTGACAATATTTAATGGAAAGCACATAAGAAAACAAACGCCCAGCACTATTACACGTGGCAGCAAAGAAAGTAAACTGTGACGACCACAAACACAAAAGATTTAGACTGAACGACCACCTTCTTCCTGAAATTTAAGGCACCATTCTGTTCATAAACAAGAGTGGTACGTTCGTGTTTAGGGGCATTTCAAAGTAATAAAGAGTCCCTTAACTAACAGTGGTTAGTAATGGTCATCGCTTAAGTAATCGAATGCATGCGCTTCAAGTCCTTGACTTTTATTTAGCACTTGAATCGCAAAAATTGTCAAGGCGTCATTTACCTGAATTGCATTACATGGCACGAAAATGAGATACGACTTCTAATTTTAGAAGCAGAGAAATGACTGTTTCCATTCATTAGAACGAAAATTAGTGCTTGCAAAGCCTTAAAAGGAACATACAGCCCCTAAAAACGGATATATAATGCTCGTCATTTAAATGTCTTGGCGCCTTTATCCTTGAAATTGACACGGATCGGTGAGAAAAAATAGCTCTTTCCAACCCAAGTGGCCGATAAACCATTAAAGCAAAAGGCGCTTGACAGGTTAAAGTTTACGCCTACACTTTAAAGACGTGAGTCATACCCGATGGAACTGTTGTCGCCGGTGGCGAACTCTTTGAATCAGCTCCAAATAGGGTCATCGAGTGAGAATGTGGTACTAAGCTTTGGGTGTTTGCGGAAGAGAATTGAGACGGCGATATCGATGCAATCGGAGGAGAACGAGTGCAGATTGAAGGAACCAGGGAAGTTTGCGTAAAAAGAGAATTGGTTGTAAAGGCTTCCGTTTCGTGGGGAGCGAATGGAGTTGACACAGCACCACTACTGCCGCCACCGACAAGAGCTGGCCAATCAGAAATGGAACTTGGTGATATATTGGGGACCGCAGACGTAGAAGAAGCCACAGTCGCCTGAAGGGATATTCAAACCAATACAAAAACACTGCAAGGTAGGCTGAAGGTCATGGATGTGAAGGGAAACACAAAAATGAAACTCGCAAACACAACTCGCTTCCGAGACACACCATCGGTAGATTCGCTTTAAAAAAAAAACAGAAAATAACGACAAAAAACGAGAGGTCCACAACTGTCTGGTTTTTGTTTTAATTCACGAACAATAAATTTCGAACAACCACATTATTTAATAAATTGACTTTTTAAGTGCATATTATCCGTTGTAGTTTTTTCAGCCTGCATAAAATCGCTTCGTTGTGTTAAATTGGCGCCAGGGTGCAATAAAAATAAATCTTACGGAAGGATGTTCAAAAATAAACTCATCGGGAGCCCAAGGGCAAAATGTTTCTTAGCACGAAAGCGTAGGAAAGGTGAAAAACACTTTACTAATGCGTGTATCAAGGATGAAGATACAACAAAATCGGAGCCTTTCAGGGGGTTTATGGTTATGCAATTTTTTTATCTTTAACACGTGTCATCCTCAGAAGAGCACACAGTGTAAGAAAAATCAAAATCACTTTTCGGTGACCTTTCAGGGTTGCATAAAGAATTTTTTTGGCAGTTGAGAAATAGAATGCTGCTTACCCAGGATAAAAAGCCCACAAGTGACGAAATGGCTGTCACGAAAAACTTACAGGTGAAACCCTTGGTGGTGGGATGGGAGACGTTTCCATGGACTGACTCTGTAACTGCCGTTGAGCCGCGTGGTGCTGTTGAATCGTAGCAGGGTTAAATGGCGCAGCCGAGAATGGATCCACTGAGGACAGAGGGACATTATCCAGTGGCCCCGAACTATTAACCTCCTCAAAAGAGACGGGAAAAGCGGGTGCTGTCGTCCCTTTGACCATCAAAGTCTCAGCGACGGAAGTGTTAGGCGATGAAAAGAGAACAGAATCGAGAGTTCTGGACATTAGCGCGAAGGTTGTTGTTGTGGCCCCTGCTGGCGGGCCTCTAGACGGAGGATCCTCTGAATCTGCAGGAGCTTCTTCTGGAATGGCCGCGCCTAGAGAACGCAAATTAGCAATAAGTCATAATCCCTCCAAAAGTTGCAGTCATCAACGTCAACAGGGCCATGTATCTAACCTCTGCCTGACGACTACACAAATTCTACACATGGCCTGTTCAGTAATTTTGCCACCTTTTAAAGTGAAAGAAACTTACAACAAAATGGTTAATTGTGATCTATACCAAACAATTAAGGTGCATAGGCATAGGATGACATTGATAAAGAGGGGTCCAACTACGAGGCATAACCGAGCGCAAAAAGAAAAGCAAAAAGTTCGAATTTAGCCTCACGAAACTTTAATACGGTCAAGGGACATTTTGCTCGAGCACATTAAAAAAATGGCAAAAAAGTCAATTTCATGAGGACTTAGAATTGATTGAGGACTTTCTGAACCTTGTTGCACACTCCAACTATCAAAGTAACGTGCATTTCCTTCATGTACAGCAATTAAAACAGTGGACAACAATAACGCCCCACATCTATTAGGTGCACGACGCATTGAGTAAGGACCTGTTTTAGACTCGCTACCCTATGGATCTCTGCTCACAGCCAAAGGAAAGCCAAGGGATATCACCCAGAACAAAGTTACACGATTCAAAACGCTGATGACGTCTGCACAAATAATTAACTAGAAAAGGCCGAGACTACATGACTAGCACACGATAACATAATGACGAGAAATGAGATTTTGACAAATAACATGACCATAACTGATTCTCTGGAACCACATTCTGCGCGACGATTCGTCATTAGCATCAACTATACACACAGCGTACACCTTTCCTTAATCGACCACGAAGACTTCTACCCTCCTCACATATAAGCAAATGTCATATGACGAAATGCCTTCTACATATTGAATT